TCTATGCTGTGTCATTTCTGCTCACACTGTGTGTTTCTTCTGGAATTTCCTTCTCCATTTTTGTTTTTGGATATCTCTCAATTTTTCAACATATAATGTAAAACTCATCTCACTCATTGAACTTTAGCAACTCACTTCCTCATGTCACGTGTTGTGGCAGAAATAGTGAAGAATGATAGGAGGAGGATGAGGGTATGCTTGGGAGTTTGTTTGCCTTTCACTAGCACGATCCTATGCAAATGACCCAAACTTTATGAACCTTTCTCCTCTTCCTTAGCATAAATTAAACAACTGTTATTCCCACCGAAGTTTATATAATATAATGAATGCCATGCTGTCCATGGCACCCAGGAAATATAAAGTAGGCATTTATTCTATCTATTCTGTAACTCTTTAGTGAAATGATTCAGAAGAAGAGAGACAGATATAGAATGACCATTCATTTATGGGTTATAAAAAAAATAGTATGGGACTAATATCCAAGTCCAGGAAAAACAGAAGCCAAAGGGACAGGTCAATGGTTGGAAGCTTGCCACAAGGGTGTGGGGGGCAAAAAAATAGTTAGGATATAGAAGGGACCACTATGACAATAATAATTAGAAATTATCATAGTGGACAAGAACTGAGTGTTGAAAGTAGGTAAAGGGATATACACGATAACCTTTCAGTGTCCGGATTGCAAACCATAATGCCCAAAAGGATAAAGGGGGTGAGAGGGAGAGAAAGTGAGAGAGAGAGAGAGAGAGAGAGAGACTGAAAGAAGAAAAAAGGCAAGGTGTTATCCAGGAATTTCTCTAAGATTCCAGTGGATTATTCCTTTCCCTCTCAGAAAGACTGGCAAGCTACCGAGAGTATTCTGCCCGCACGGAAGAGCCTGGCAAGCTATCCGTTGTGTATTCGATATGCCAAAACCAGTAACTACGACTGGTCTCATTCACCTGACCCTGAAGGCTTCACCGACATGGCAGCACTGAGAAGGATGAGAAAGGAGAGGCCGACAAAATCTCAAGGCCGACCTAGGCTGCCACAACGAAGGAAGACAAAAATGATCGTCTGTACTTTCAATGCACTTACGCTAGCATCAGATGCATCCATCGAGGACCTGATGGTACAAGCGCGAATGATCAAGTATGACATCAATGGTCTGACCGAGACAAGAAGGCACGAATCTCACCATGCCGTTTTCGACACTGGAGAAGAATTGTTCCTCAGAACATGCGATAAAAGAGGTGTTGGAGGCGTCAGTGTCCTTGTCAACACAAACTTGGCCAAGAGCATTGATTCATTCGAATGCCTAACAACCCGAATCGGACGTCTACATTTGAATAGATGTGGCTCACTGCCTGCAGTTTCTATCTTCGTTGTCTACGCACCAACATCTCATTATGATGAAAGAGAAATTGAGAAGTTCTACATGGAGCTAGAGAAGTTCTATAAAGAAGACCACACCTTCTACAAGATCATTGTGGGTGATTTTAATGCCAAGATAGGACCGAGAAGATCAGCTGAAGAACTTCACATCGGAACCCATGGCCTAGAATGGAACGAACAGGGTGAGAGACTGTCTGAGTTCATCATGTCGACCAAGACCATTCATGGTAACTCACGGTTCCAGAAAGCAGAATCTAAACGATGGACATGGGAGTCTCCCGGTGGACGATTCCACAACGAAATAGACCACATCATATTCAATCGACGGTTTTGCCTGACTGATGTCGCTGTTGTCCCAAAATTTCGAACGGGATCGGATCACCGTCTCCTTCGTGCAAAATTCTAGTTCACAGAGCAGGGAGAAAGGGCTGCAAAGTTCAAAAAGAGAACTCCCAGAATGACCACCAACTGGGAACTCTTTGGTACTATTGCGGCAACATGGGAAGATGCCATTGTTGACAACATTGACGAGGAATACGATCGACTGGTTCAGCACCTCCATGAATGTGCAAGGAACGCCAAGAGAGAGATAGCCATAAAAAATCGCCTATCTTCGAAAACTCTTGAGCTAATTCGCCAGCGTGGTTTGGCGCATGCCTCAGGCAACCGCAAGCTAACGTCCGAGCTCGCAAAGCAGTGCAGAGATGCGATCAAGGAAGACCTCAAAGAGAGAAGAGCAGAAGTACTGGTAGATGCGGCAGAAGCCGGGAAAAGTATTCGTAACGCCCGCCTGTCTTTCGCCAACTACAAGACCAAGATGATTGCCCTCCGACATCCTGATGGATCCATCACATCCTCCAGAACGGCAATGGAGAAGATTATCCATGACTTCTACTCAAATCTCTTCGATAGCCATGTCCACTTGCCGACATACCAAATTCCACAGGATGGATATGTCGTTCCCAACGTTCTCCCTTCCGAAATCCGACACGCCATTTCGTCGGTAAAGAAACAAACAGCTCCCGGCCCAGACAAGGTCAGACCTGAACACCTGAAGAACCTGCCGTCAGTACTCATCAATACACTGGCTCGGCTCGGCTCTTCACTCACTACCTGTCTGAATGCAAGTTTCCGTCCCAATGGAAAACCAGCAGGATTCACTACCAGGATCTCACCTTTCTACAAAGAAGTGATTGTTGATGTCAAGAGAGGGGTGCGGCAGGGTGATACCATTTCACCAAAACTCTTCAGTGCCACCCTCGAGAACATCATGCGACGACTGGAATGGGAAGGAATGGGAGTGAAGATAGATGGTCGGCAACTACACCACCTCCGCTTTGCTGATGACATTGTTTTAATAACACCAAACATCAGCCAAGCGGCACAAATGCTGGCCGACTTTGACCGTGAGTGTGGAAAGGTAGGACTACAGCTGAATCTTACGAAGACAATGTTTATGAGAAACAGCCTTGTTCCTGACGCCCCATTCGCTCTCAATGGAACGACCATCTCCGAATGCAACAACTATGTGTACCTAGGTCGAGAGGTCAACATGACAAATGACCTGGCACCCGAGCTGTGCAGGAGGAAGAGAGCGGCTTGGAACGCCTTCAAGAACGTCGAAGAAATAGCTAAGAGGACGAAGAACCTCCGGCTCCGGGCACATCTCTTTGATTCCACTGTTCTTCCTGCATTAACATATGCCTCAGAGACCTGGGCCCTACGCAAACAAGATGAGAACGCTATTCAGGTCTCCCAAAGAAGAATAGAAAGAGCTATGCTTGGAATATCATGTTTCACTCAAATGAGAGAAAGAATCCGGAGTTCTGACATCCATCAACGATCAAGAATCAGGGACGCTGTCTCATTTGCCAAGGTGTCGAAAATCAGATGGGCTGGTCACGTAATGAGATTTAAAGACGACCGTTGGACTAGAGCTGTTACTGATTGGATTCCACGGGATGTCAAAAGACCGCGTGGCCACCCACCTACCAGATGGTCAGACTTCTTCGTGAAGATCATGAACGATCGGTTTGAGGCCCTTCATGTTCCCGGAGCGAACAGATGCCATTGGGCTACACTAGCATGCGACAGGGACAAATGGAGACGTTACTGGCGCCCGCTCGAGCAAATCGACGACTAACGGGAAGTTAAGTGATTAAGTGATTCCTTTCAGTCCTAGAGACAAGACAATAAAGCCAGGGAAAAAAGAGTTACTGTCAAATGTCAGCTGCTCTGGCAAGTGTTGAGTAAGGGCAATAAAAGGCTGTGGCTGGAAACTGCCCCAGGGAGAACTGACAGGAAAACTGTACTTGATAGGTGTCTTGCACAGTGTCCAACCGTTCCCTTTACTCAAGTCTTGATGAGTCACTTTCCTGTTAATGACATTTTTATTGACAGCATGGTTCCAATGAATTTGGAAACTCATCTTCATTGTTATTCAGAACATGTGGGGCCCCCAAATAAAGGGATTAGTTTAGAGTATCTCTAGAGTGTTCTATCAGATACTGCTCTAACTGATAAGAATACAAACACTCAAGCATCCTGGACAAACCACATGAAACCAAGTAATTACAATGACGACCCCCACTTATCAAAGTTAATCTGGAATAAGTTCTGCTTGTCCTAATAATGACTTGAAAATGATAAGTTAGTGAAACAAGCACTTAGAAAGACTTCCTTTTCACCCCTGCTAACTGGCCACTTTATTTGTAAGGGAGCTTGGGCTTTCTCTTTAACTAGTTTTTCACTTCAGCTGTTAGAAGACTGCCTAGAGCATCAATTTTTCCAGCATGGTTAGACCATATAAGTTTCATAATAAGTTCTTTAGAAATGATCTTCCCTTCCTGCTAGACCATGAAAGGCCATCTCACCCACACCATGAAAGTAAACACTAAACAGATCCAACCCTGTAAAAAGAATAAACACAGGCAACCTGTGTCTCTAGTTTTTTAAAAAAATGATTAGTAACTGTCCCCATAATTTGATATGTTGAATATTTCTATTATTTTCACTTGAATCCTTGAAGAAAATCCTTATGTTACAATCACTGAAGGAAAAATCAATACCTAATGTTTTTTGTTTAGTAACTATGAAAAATAAGCAAGGTTGTCATATGTGTCTATAGGAAAAATGAAGTGTTATGAGAAAGATGAAGGAATAGGTGGGAAATATCACTGTGAATTTTGCAAGTCAGGTAATTACTCGGCATATCCATCGTTTACCACAATGTCCGTGTTATCACAGCAAGTGGTAAGTCTCGATTGGCTGACAAATCAAGACTGGTTTAGAACTAGTTTTAAACTGATTAGCTTAAAACTTATTAGAATACATTTACAAGCTGCATTTATAGTTAAATGGCTCCTTTGGAGAAATCTCCAACTTTGTCTTTTCTAGACCATAGACAGATGCCTTAACTCTAATCTCTACTATAGTAATGTAAACTCTTGGGGTACTGTCAGCTGAACCAGCTATTTCCAGCTGAAATTAGGAAGAAATAGAACATTCAGATGCATTCTTCACAATCAAGACAAATAGACCATCTAACAGCTCAAGAATTCTTCACTCACAAGACTTTTAATTTAATTTTTTAATTTTATTTTCATAAAGTTGGCTTTTTTTCAATTTTAAGCTCATTTTATTAAGTTCCATGATGAAAGCTCTCTGAAGAATAGTCTCCTGAAAATTATTTTTTCTTAGATAAGAAGAAAGAAAAATCAACACCCTCTAAGAATAGCCACAGATGCTGTGGCAGTCAAGCCTGTCTTCAGAGTAGTCTATTAGTCAAATCACTCTCTGGGTCAGCTGGATTGTAGTCTGGATCATCATCATCATCATCATCCAATTCCAAGTCATCCATTTTCTGGAACAAAGACTCATCTACCTCCACACTGCTTCCAGCATCCTCTAAGACCTGGATAACAGACGTGTCAAGATTATTATCTGTTTCAAATAGCTGTTTCCCACTTAATTTATTTTTTCCTGCTTGCTCTTCTTCTTTCATTTGTTTCTTTTTAATGTCTAAGAGTTGTGCATCAAATTTGGCCTTCCAACTTAAGAAATTCTCGATTTTAACGGGAGTGCCATGAAATAATTGCGTTTCAGCTTCTTCTGCTTCCTTTTCTTTTTGTTTCTTTTCTTCTCTTCTAGTTTTTATTTGATCTACTATTTCACTAAATTTTTCTTGCACAGCTGTCACTAAGGTGAAGATCATTACCATACCAAGGTTTTCTTCTGCCTGTAATTCTAATAATTTTAAAATGTCTGAGACATCATTATCTTCTAGATTTTCCTGGGAGAACATTTCATAAAGGGGGCCTTCATCTGAGTATTTTTCACTATATGTAAACTTGATGGTAGTTTGAACAGTTTCATCATTTTCTCCAGCCTCAGATGCCACAGTAATAGTGAAGCTGGGTGGATTTTCTGATAATACTTGCACACAGCCAACACAGGTTCAATACCTGGTACTGCATATGGTCCCCATATGGTCCCCTATGAAGAAGTCAGGGTAGATAGACCCCAGAGCCTCTAGCTCGTTGCGCTATTCCTCAACGTAATCTGTCGTCCTGGCCCTGACTGCTGCCCATGGACCTCCCAGACACACTAGCGGCAAGCTCGCAGCTGAGATGGGGGACTCGCCGGGAGAACTGGCTGCGACTAGCGGGGCACAGGTGCACAGTCCTGGCGAAAAGGCCAGAGTCCAAAGCCTGACCGGGACTGCTAAGCAACAGTCCCACACCGACCTCTGCCTGCTCCCTTATTTTCATAAAATTGTTCACAATAACTGATTACATTCAATATTTCGACACCAGTCCCACCACCAGTATTTCGAAATTTCCCACCACCACTCAAGCCTGCCCCACAGGTAGATGCTACATAATTTATCCTGTATTGCTTGGTATGTATAGTATAGGATGTCTGTAAGGGTCTGTCTCACAGTGATTCAACAAAAAAGGACAAAAAAAAAAAAGATGAGATATAGCATGGCCACAAAAGCTCCTGGGATCACAAAAATTTAAATAATTGGGGTCCGGTCCCAGGACAAGTCTGTGAAGATCAGCCATAAGGGTGGCGGCGATTGGTTTCTGGAGGTTTGGGGCTGCCAGGGTTCATCTGGTGCAGGCAGAGAGAGAGAGAGAGAGAGAGAGAGAGAGAGAGAGAGAGAGAGAGAGTGCCTGCTCCCATCCGAGGTGGCCCTGTGACATCAGCCCGGCGCATGGTCTAGAGCCATCCCAGTTCCGAGATTCATTTGTCTCAACAAGTCACTCTTTAGAAGTAGCTTTTAGGTCCAGAGACATAGTACAAAGATTAAGGCACTTGCTTAGCTTGCAGCTGTGGCCATAAACTTGGTTCAAATCCCAGAACCACGTGTGGTTCCCTAAGTCACAGTCAGGTGTGGTCTTTGAGGACAGTCAGATGTGGGCTCTGAATACTGCTGGTTGTACTACCCTATCACTCCCAAATAATAGCTCCTTGTTTGGGATTTCAGAGCCTGGTTTTCCATACTCTCAACTTGTCCATATATGCAAGAAAATTTTTCCACACCAAAGAGCATTAGAATCTGCCAGATGGTCAAGAGCACTGATTTGGAATTAAATTGCATGGGGTTGAGCCCAGTTCTGATAGTCTTGGGCAGCCATATCTAGGACACGTTACTCTCTTCTTGCTTCTGCCTCCATAAAATGCCAGGCCTAATGGTTGTGTGGACGTGAACATCTATAGCATCTAGGCCTAAAAAGGACTAAAGAAATGGAACTGTCATTATTACTGTCACTTATCAGCTAGTGTCCTTTAGCTTTGGTTGCCAAAACGGGTGGAGGTGGGAGGTCCAACTGCAAAATTCTCTTCCACAGCCTAAACTGAGGTGCTGATACAAAAAGAGAAACATTTTGGATGAGATATTCTAAAGATAACTAAATGTGAGATACTCTTCTCTCTCACTTTTTTTAACCCATTGAAGTAGAAAATAATTTTTTACATAAATAACTTTCTGTTGTTTGTACTTTTGTCTGTTTGTTTTGAACCACATCTGGCAGTGCTCAGAATTTTCTCCTGGCTCTGTATTCAGGGATCACTCTTGACAGACTCATGGAACCATATGGAATACCTTGGATTGAACCCGGGTCTGCCACATGTAAGTCAAGCATCTTGCCCTCTGTACTATTGCTGACCCCAGGACTCATTATTTTAAATACATCAAATTTTGGTCTTATTAATGCCTGCTGACCATCTTTTCTTGTTCTTTCTTTTTCTCAGTAAGAAAAAGACAAAATAAGAAGGAGAGGTGGGTGCATTCTCTGTTGTCCGCCTCATAACCTATGATATGTGCTTCTGTCTCCTTTCTTTCTCTCTCCTTCTTTTTCCCTCCACTCTCCCTCTCTCTCTCTCCTTACATCTCTTTTAAGTAAAACTACTTTGTTTTAGGAAGGAGGAAGGGGAGGAGGTGGAGAAGAAGAAAAAGTAAAAGGAAGAGCATGTGGAAGAGGAACGAGGGAGGCCCCTTTGCAGTTCTGTCCTTGACTGACAAACCTGTGCAACCAAATTGGAGTTTCCAACAGGCAAAGAGGAACCATTTCACAGCCCTGCAGGCAGACAGGCTATACAGATCATAACTCTTCAACGTTTTTTTTACTAGAGCTGGAATTGAATATAGTTTGAACCAATTACTTAGACTGGTTTGTCCCTCCTGAAGCTTTCAGTTCTCCCCCACATCTATCAGAGAAAATGGTCTGTATTTACCTCGTGAAGAATTTCTTCTTTAGGAGGTAAGCATGTCAAAATTTTAGGTATGTCGGGATCTTTCAAAATCTCTCAGTATTGCGCTTCCTGGAGACCAGCTGAAAGCTCCAAGTCATCCCAGTCTGGCTGGCTTTAACCCTTCACACTGAGAAGGTGATGTCTCGTTATAAATGGAGAGAGATTTCCACCCACTGTCTCACACTCAACGAGCAATATTTACCATCTCCATCAGCGGCAGCTAGCCTTTGCTCTGTGGAAAGTGTAAAGGAGGGGGACTGGGGGACCCGAAATTCAGCTGCCAACCTCTGTAGCAGAAAAGATTTATCCCGTGGAAAATGTAGGCTATCACTGTAGAGATCCACCCCTTAATGGCTTTCAACTCTGCAGAAATTGTTGTCAGGGAGACTGAAGCAGGTGCTTGTCATGCAGAGACCATCTCCTGGGCCTGCTCGCCCGGACAGGAGGACTCGCTCTAAGTTATTGGTTTCCACATCCCATTTACCCAGGCTCCATCATAACCGATATGCAATCGAACATACAAAAGACCTTAGCTTCCCCATTAATAATAGATTCACAAAGTGGGCCAGAGGAGCCTCACAATCAACTCTCGGGGAAAATGCAGACATGTCTCCCTGGAAGAAGGCTTGTCGGCGTGAAAGACTGAATTGCCCCAGTGTTAGGCTTGCTTTTCTCCAAATCCCTATAGCACTCATTATCCGTATTACATAATTTAGCACTTGATTATATACTGTCTTGTATTGTTCTCTAATTGTTTCGTTGCCCAGATAAGAGGTGGAGTTTCTTGAAGACAGCATTCACACACACACACACACACACACACACACACACACACACACACACACACCCCTAACATGATTTCTAGAATCATCTACTTCCCTTAACTCTCTCTAATTATTTTGCTTCCATCATGATATGTGCTTCAAATCAACCTAAATAAATGGGAAAAAAATAATTGCCCAAACCCCACCAAACACACACACAATACTAACAATAAAAGAGAAATACCTGCATACACTAATGTATGCAAAACAACATGAAATGTAGAAAGAGATTGAGGGAAGAAATTCAGTGAACACTTCTTTCATTGGCCACCAGACCACCAAGCCTAGAAGGAAAACTTTCATACAAAAGGGCTTCTCTTTGCCCTTCTGTATCTTTCACAGCAGGAGTGGAAGGTTTCTAAAATAATATGAATCATTGTATATGGAAACACTGATCTAAGCACGCCTGGATTGCAGTCAACACCACCTCCTAGGATGGTGGCTGGCGATGCAACCTGCAGAACAACTAGTACCTGTGCTTCCGGAGGGAATATAATTACATCTCCCCTTATCACTGCAAACAAACAACCATTTTAAATGTTTTTGGAAAGCCTGATGCTTAGTTTTTTTCTTCATCCAGATCCTTCTTGCAGGGAAGGACTGACCTTATTATGAATTTCTTTTAAGTATGTACTGTGGAGGCCGAAGAAATAGTACAGGGGTTATGACACTTGCTTGGTACACAATGGACCCGGTTTACAGGGATTACATGGCACTGCACATGGTCCCTCCCAGCACTTCCAGGAGTAGGCCCTGACTGAACACCACCAAGTGTGGCTCCAACTCCCTGCCTCACTCCCCCACAAAAGTATTGTGATATTTTTTTAAATAAATAAAATTACAATCTAAATAAATATGCAGTGTGAACCAGAAGTGCTATTGGCCTTTCCCAGATTACAGTTTTCAACAGCCTGAGCAAGTGTTACTTGAGTCCCAAACCAGGTTTGCGTGTGTTAAGGAGGGAAAACACTAAGGTGACGTCTGTTGGGATCATTTCAAGCTCTTACTACTCATTCATTTTACAGCACGCGGTCCTTGCAGAAACCCTGATGGAATAGACACGGTGCTCCCCATTCTGCAGTTCTGGAGCTCGAGGATTAGGGAGAGTCAAACGTTCTCCTCCAGCAGCCATAGAACAGGCTCAGAGTCAGGAGTCAGGCCTGCCTGAGGCCACATTCCCTCACAGGGAGGAACCAAGCAGAGGTAGGCTCCAGGTGCTTCCTCCCACTCTAAAAATCAGAAATCTCCTCCACACACAAACCCCAATGCTGACTTCTCAGTGAGGAGACAGCCACCACAAGCAAAACCCACCAACCGGAGTCCTAAACACCAGAAATGTTTGTCTCACATTTGGAGGCTGGACATCACAACCAAAGCAGCCATTGGGTTAGTTCTTTCTGAGGACGTGGGAGAAGTTCTGGGCCAGCCCTCTCTGCTTAGCTGCTTTGTGGCCATCTGCATGTTCACATTGTGTCCTTCAAGTGATCCCCTGAATCAGCTCAGCCAGAAGTGACAAAATTGCACCCCAGAACGCACAGGAGTCATTGGGGTTGTGGAGGGGATTCCTGCGGCTAGGCCCGAGCTCGCATACAAGCACTGCAGGGCATGGCCTCCATAAAATAATAAAAATAAAATATGAATAATATAAATAAAATAGCACTGTAGCACTGTCCTCCCGTTGTTCATCAACACTTGTTTGCTCAAGTGGGCACCAGTTTAACGTGTCCATTGTGAGACTTGTTGTTACTGTTTTGGGCATGTCAAATACACCAGGGGGAGCTTGCCAGGCTCTGCTGTGTGGCAGGATACTTTCAGTAGCTTGCTGGGCTCTCCAAGAGGGACAGAGGAATCAAACCTGGGTTGGCCTCGTGCAAGGCAAATGCCCTACCCACTGTGCTCTCTCTCCAGCCCATAAATAAAATAAATCACAATAAAATAAATTATCAAAGTAGCAATTGTGCAGGTTCATCACAGTCACTAGGCAACAA